AACAGGGTAAGACATGCAGTAAGAAGGATGCTGAACTCCTATGGGAGCCCATGGATGTGCCTCAAAGACATCACATAAAGAATGCAGATTACAGAAAAGTGCAGAATCTGTGTCTGAATATTTCCCTGTGTTAGATAAAATGCAGTTGTAACCAGGAGTCACAGAACAAATTGTTTTTTAAGAGCTAGTTCTTTTCCTTCTGGCATCATGCTCAGAAGTGCACTGCAGTCCTATACCACCTTCATTCCAGGAAACTGGAAATGCCCAGGCTGCTGTGCAGGACCTGAAGGCTGCCTGAGGTCTGTCTGGAAGCAGTGCTGCCCAGACTTGCTGCTCTGAGAATATCTACAACACATAAACAACTTCACCCRGGGAAGCTTTCTGAAGACAGTGAGCTCAAGTGTGTTGCTGCTGCTTAACCAAGGCCAAGAGAAAAAACAGCCCAAAGATTTCATGGACTGTGATCCAAAACTGGGAGCCTGCTGAGCTCCTTCCACCCAAGRGGAAGATAACCAGCCCCTGACCATCTGTGGCGTTTTTTTTCATGCCACCTTAGAAAAGAATGCAATGAACAGTCATAGATTAAGCAAAAACAGTTTGAGGTGAACTGAAAAGCCGAGAAACTCTCAAAATCAATTGTGAGGAACACAATAGGTTCTAGAGATTAATTATAAATTGCCACTCTGTTAAAGACTCTGAGAGTTACAGCATTTGTAATTTTTGTGATAAATTACGAATGTAGGTTTCAAGGCGTTTTTCCCTCAGAGCAGTCAGAGACAGTAGTGCACTTTTATGTATTTAGTGAAGGAATTAACAGAATCATCTGCTGAGCTTTATGTAACAGAAGGTTGCTTCTCTCTCACAGATAACATGCACCATATTTATGTTTAAGAAAAGAAGCAAAGTAAGTATGATAAACAACTTTTATGCAGAAGCACTGCAGAAAACTATGCTGTAATTTTGCTGTTTGGGAATACATCTAGAGAAAGGAATGGGAGAAAACTGACAGAGATGTTTATATCACACTGGGGACTGAGTCAGGGCAGAGATTTATATCACACTCATTTTCATGCAGATAGTGACATTTGCATTTGAGTTATATCCTTGTCACACAGAAGCAGGTGAGTCAACATCTAGCTAAATCTTTCCTTTGCTGAGGAAGATGCTTAGCTGGCCTGCAGGTCCACATCAGCAGACTGAAAAGGGGTAGCATGATAAGAAAATGGATGGGAAATGGAAATGCCATAGACAGGATTTCATCCTTCCTGTCTGCTGTTAAACTGCAAGAAAGGCAAGATAGCTCTGGACTGTGCTGATGCAATGGAATGCCATGTTGACACTGGGACATACCCTTTCAGAGAGTGATTTTCCAGACTGCAAAATCTCCCTCTGCAGTGCCAAATGAATTACTTTTCAGAGCAGGAGGAGTAAGAGCCAGAGAGCTCCTGAAGGCAGAAAGACCCCAGCCCTCCCCTAGGCCTCTTTATGCTATATAATCTACAGCTTGTGGGGAAAGGGTAAGCTTCTCTGCACAGCAGAATGGAGGAAAAAAYGTCAGAAACGGTTAATACTTCACACGTTGTGTTCAAATGCCTTGGATTTTGGACTGAGGCCTGGACAATGCACCAAGTCTGATGAGTCAACTCTTCTTCACATGGATAATGCTGATATGAAGCCTCCATCTGACTATTTGGTGAATAAAGGATTGTGAGACCAGCACTTAAGCAGAAGCAAATYTGGCACAGGATTTCCTGGGGATTAATGACTGGCTGGGAGTAGATGATAGCCTGATGCACAAGCAATCTTAATCCCTCCAAAATGATCTGCATCAAGGTCATTATTTCTTCAATAAGATAAAAGCAAACCAAAAAAACTGTCATTTGGATATTTATATTTTTAATGAATGATGAGCTTTCAGTAGATTTTTAAATTTCGCTTTCAGCTAATGAATATCCTATAGGTTCACCAGCCAGAGTGGTTGAATTCTTATTCTACAAACTTCAGGCAGATGGAGATTTTAAGGAGCAGATATCTTGCTCAACTAAATCTGTAGCATCTCTGTACATTTTCCTGAATCCCAAGAGCCACACATCCCCTGACTCACRCTGAAGGTCTCAGACGTTACATACCTGTCAGCACTTTGCAAGTTCATTGCTCTGAAAGAGTTCACAATCTGATTTTCACAAAACAGGCACAAGCCAGAGGAAAAAACAAATTTATGGCGAAGGGGGAAAAGAAGAATTGATTTACAAATGCAGAATCATACATGAAGATGACTCTTTTTTCTTCACATTTTCTGAAAAAACAGAAACCTCTTAAAGTCATTTTTTATTCAAAAGTCATTTTTTATTCACTTCATATTCTTCTGTACATAACTTAGTGAATTTTTAAAGGCCCCTCAGTTGAAACAGAGGTTGGTTGTGACTTGACAAATGAATTATTCAGGAATGAATAACATGAGCTGGTTTACTATGAATATATTACATGTTAATGTAAAAATAAGACCTCACGGGTCAAACTAAGCATTAATAGCCATATAGCCTGCTTAAATATTCTAAAATGCTTATGCTACCACTAAGAGGACTTAGATGGGACTTCTTTGTGAGCCTTACAAAGCCCTCATAAATCCAAATGACAAAGCTTTTTATTTCCTTTGCTGCCTCTGTTTTCCCAAAGCTGCCTCTATTTCCCTTACAACCACTTAACAGAATGCTATAGTGAGCTTTATTATTGACCTAAATCGAAAGAAAAGCTGAATATACTAGCAACAGGGCAACAACTGGAAATTTTAATTTGAATGGCAACAGTTGATCTGGAAGATGCAAAGCCAGACAGAGCTCCCAGACTCCATGAACAGAGGATGTTTTTCCGGAAGTCAAATATTGGTTGTTTTGGCCATGCCRACTGCAGGGCTTGTGGTGCCTGTCTGGGACGCGCTTTGGTGGACTGTCCCAAAAAAACGCTCTCCCTCTCTTTTCTTTTTCTTTTTTCTTTGAGTCTAATCCATATCCACTTTAAATCAGTTGCAGGAAATACTTTTTTACCCATGAGGTAGTGCACCGAGATCAAGCCTATGATCTTTTATTACACAAGTGTAACAGATGTTGTTTTCTTTGGTTTATACAAAACTGAAAACAAATAAGAATCATTTGATTATTTCTTTACTGTGTCTGTATCTTGCTGTAGGAAAGGGCATGTGAAATGGAGAGAGATATGTACATTTGCCTATTGAACATTTGCCTATTATTACAGGAGACTCTTCACAATTCTATTTCCCCAAGAATTTTGTTGTCCCATAAAATAATGATGATTGTTCTAAAAAACAAAGGACTGTATACCTCAGGAACTTCTTTTAATTCTTAGCAACGAAATGCTAAAGAAAACTTTCTGGAATCATTTACATAAGAATTATTAATTGCAGCCATCTTTCTTGAACCATATTGAAGGCCAGAGTTATATCGACATAATGAAGAATAGTTATCTTGTAATACTGAATATTTGGAAATACTGGACCTCAGATGTGAATTTTTTTTTTTTTTTTTGTATGAGCCTCAGAAAGATGAGATCCTCTGGATCACACTATATGGTGCAGGATTGCAATGGGGTAAGATCAATGGGAAAAGGGTTGAACACTGAATAAGCCAAGTGTGAGAAACAAGTAAACTTGAACAATAGAGAAAGATATAATACCTGAAAGCTCATCTTATTTCTGAGCCATTTTAAAGTCTAAACTGAATTCCATTCAAAATTTCTAGCTTCCTTTTGGTCTTTCATCTATCATCCAGACAGTAATGGTAATGGGTTCTTCCCAACCCTCTTCTGTTCTCATGTATTTAAATGTGAATTGATGAAACTCATTTACCTCTTCAGGTGGGAATTTCTGTTTGCATTAGCACATAGTGCAATTTGAGATATCGCAGATGCATCTGCAGCCCAATAGCCTTGCTTTCAAGGAAGGGTAGTGCATGGGATTTACAAGGATAGGAAGTTGTTTAGTCAGAACTCAGTTCACTTTTCACAACAGCAGGTATAGCAGATCACAATGAGGTACTAAAATTGTCCTTGTGTTGAGGTGTAAGCTGCAGCTTTTTGAGATGAAATGGCAAAGTAGACATGCTTTGTCCAAGAGGTACAGAGCAATTCAAAAAGTAGCAAGCAATATTGCAATGAGAAACATAAGGCAAATTAAATGCAAAAAGTGCTATATGTACTTTATAACCTCAGATGGCTGAAAGTTTTCCCTGTTATCAGTGATTTGATCACTTTAGCCACTCGTATTTCTTTCACAAGCAGAATTTCCAAACATATTATTTCCAAGTACAACTATTACTACAACAAAAAAATATCTGTAGACACACATTCACCAAACACAGACTTGATGTTAATTTTTTGGAAGTCCATCATAAGCAGATATTCAGATTACCCCAAAGCAGACCAAAGAAATTATACTCTCCTCCTAATAACGTCATTGAGTGCAAACAATACAAATTACACTACACTGGATAAAGCAAGCAAACTGTTAGCATGCATATAATACAGAGCAACTTTTGCTGCATTATTTATAAGTTCAGTGTTTATCTACTCAAAGGAAAACCAAAAGAGTTTCACTGTTCTTTGTATGCCATAAGACAAATGACCTACTGGTTTGTCTTTTTTTCCCCTGATGTGCTAAAATCAAAATTAGGGAAGAAAACAAAAACCTTGTGCAATTAAAAATTTACAAAAGGATTGAATTTCTATGTTTTTTACATTCTTGCTGAAGCCAGAAGCAGAGAGAAATAGCAGTTAAGACACATATCAACCAGATAATAACTTTTAGGTAGTATCACAGTGAACACATTTCTTAAGCTGAAAGTCTCCCATGACAGTGCAAAACTCTCTCAGCAAATTCAAACATATCTAGAAATGACTGGTGAAAGTAGATACAAATGTAACAAATGTGGGGATAAGGAAAAAGAAAACTATTTATTTACTGTTTTCCAACAGAAAAAAAAAAATACCTTCAGCAAGTGGGTCAAGTGTGTGAATCATGAGCTGAAAGATGCTGTTCCTCATTAGGCTGTTGTGGAGAGATGCAGAGCTTCCTCCCCGCTGGAGCCGTGGCTTTGTCTAAGTAGAAGAAAAAAGGAAAATAATTTAGTGATATTTCTGTTTGTTTTGCGCAAACAGATCTGTAACAATACAAATTAATCTCACCACACAGTAAAACATTTTCTGTCATTGACTATAGCAGAGCATACTAATCTATACTTTGTATCAAGCRTTGTCATGTATATATCTAATCTCCCTGCAGAGGATCGATCATGAGACTTATCATTAGTCTAATAGGGCTCAGGAAAAGCGCAGGAAACAAAACGTCCACTCCATGAAAACTCTCAAAATATAAAGATATTAAAATCCTCATACTTGCATCAGGAAGAGTTCATAATTTATTTCTTTGTAGAAACTTGTAGACGAATCCCTGAAGTAAATTCTTATTTTAAGTACCTCCTTGTATTGCAAATTTTTAGATCATAAAAATGATCGAAGATTTATGTCCCTTAAAGACCAAAAAATCCCCTTTTTAACAACAACAACAACAACAACAAAAAAAAACACTTAAAATCATACAGCATATAACATACGCTTCACTTTGGCTCCACACATTTAATACTGCCTACAAAACCAGTGCTGTAGTGTAGGGCAGTGCAGCAACTCACAATACTGGAGTTAATATATAAGGGACTTCTAAATGTTTTATGGTCTTTATAATACATGGGTGAGGTTCTTCTCCCCATATTATTGTCTAGTATGATAACTAATGTATTGGATATATCCTACAGAGTAAGAATGGCTCATGGATGGCAGTCTCACCCAACATCTTCAGAAATAAAAGCACAGACGTACACCCATTGCTGCCTACCGTCAGGGTTTGGTCATCCTTGTCTCCAGCATTAGGTGACTGCATGAAGGGAAAAAAGAACAAAAAACGTCAGAAGGAACCTGCATACACAGAAAGGCAGTAAAAGACCATTTGCACGTGAACTGATTTTATGAATATAATAATACATTTTTAAGCTACTTGAACTAAAGTTTTCTAGAGGTTAAGTTAATCAAATTTTGTATGTATCTGTAGTCCCGCATTTGGTTTTAACTTTAATAAAATTAACAACTGTGTTAACAGGCACTCAGAACTCCTGCCACCACAGAATTGTTTCCAAAATATATTGAAAATTTTGTAATAAAGGCATGTTAATTTTATACCCTCTCCACTTAGCTCCAAGAAGGAAAGTTAACACTTGAACACATGAAATGAGAAACTGCAGTAAGCAAGTTCTAATTTAAACAGAGTTCAGACTCTAGCTGTCTCACCCTCCTTTGTACTTGCTAGCATACGGWTTGGCATGAGGTTCTGGCACCTGAACCATCTCCTGCATTCCCTCTTTTGGCACCTGAACCTCTCCTGCATTTGCTGGGGGCATCACTCAGAGCACCAGATGATGCTCATGCTCTGGAGAGAGCTATCCAGGGCATTAACACTCGGACAGCAGACACACATCAGCATTAAGTGTCGAGGCACGAAGTGGAAGACAAGTAACTCTGAGCTAACACAGACACTGGAAAAGACCACTCGTGTTCTGTAATAAGCAAAAGAACAACTGAAATCTTTGTGTTGAAAATGTTACACCAACCATTGATACTAACTTGAAGAATGGATAAGGAAACAAACAAAAAGACCTCCGATACAATAAGGAAACTACCTGTCCCCTTAAAATTACACTGATATGGTGTGAGAATTGGCTGGAAACCGGTATGGGTTTTAYTTGTCTATTAGACAAAACCATAATGGAAAGAACTTTTAACAAAGTSGAACAAAAAAGAAAGGAAAATACAAACCGTGTGTTTTAAAATGTGATTAAAAATGTGAATGTTAWTTTTTTTTGTATTTCTGTAATTTCTACCCATAAAATTCATCCATTCTCCTTCAGAAACAAATCCATACACAGACTTGCATATGAATATTTTATTTGTGCGTAGTTTGAGGAATCCAAATGGAAGGGCAAATTTATTTTGCAATCAATTTCTCAAGAAGAAAAAAGGATAGTAAAAAATATTTTTGTTTCTAAAGAAGATATTTAGATCTCACAGCACAGTCCTAAAGTTCAGTGGGATAGCTACATAAGTAAAATTTATGACATGCAGAAGAATTGCAAAAACTGTTTTTTTGATTCAAATTATAAAATTAATTATTGGGGATTTTAAATTTTTTTAATGTATTAATTTTAATTAAATTAATTTCTTAATTTGAATATTAAGAAAAGGCTTGAGCACAGACAAGAGTATATTATCTATATACCTGAGTAATTTACTCAAAAACAAACAGATAAGAAACAGTGCTTTAAGGCAGAAGGAACTGAAAGTGCTCAGAAACTCTCTCAAACTTTGAGCACACTGTAGACTTAATATTGGAGGCACACCTGAAAATCACTGAAGCTAAAGGTAATACTGTTCTTCTACTTGAAATGGAACTGACGGAGACTTACTGAATGTATAAAATAACTAAATTGTTATTTGTACCATATATTTAAATTTCTAGAATTGATGATATAAAAATAAAAAAAATGAAATAGCTTGTTCATATACACTAGGAAAATAAATAAAGAAATTAAAAATGTATATAATTAAGTAATTTTATTATTCCTAAGAGTACAGAATGTGATATAATGCTATGATTTTTAATTGTTTTTTTCCAGACATAATCAATAATGCAATTGTTCCTGTGCTTGTCAGTCAAGTTACAGTTTAGTAGAAATGATCAAGACTGAATTTTAAGGCAAAACTGTCTCTGTAGTTTTAAAAAGAGGACAAACAATGTTTCTGCTGTTTGGACATACTAATTGTAAATAATTTTGAGATTATCATGTGGATTAAAAATAATGATGCCTTATAATAGTAATCTTGATTTGCCCGTGGAAAATTCAGTGTCATTGTTGCCATTTACAACCTATATTTGATAACATTTTGCCCTTATTAGAATGGCAGATTTATTTTCTTATTGTTCCTGTTGCTTATAGGGAGATTCCATTTAGACATTCACTACTATGAAGTTTGAATATTACACACTATATAGCCAACTATTGTATTTCTTTTATAGAAACATTTATTAGTTAGATATGTTACAAAACCTTTTAATTTAAGACAAAATTTACAAACTGACCCAATTTTAAAATGACTATATTTCTTTACACTAACTGTGAATACTGTATTTTTCGATATACTGATGAGTGATTTTTTTATTGTTTTCTATAGGAACAACTTTACTCTTAAATCGTGGTAAACCATGGAATATCAGTTACCTCAYGATAAGAAAGAAATGGAAACTAAATGTAATCTATGTTTTATTATTTTTCTGGAAGAGAATAGTAGTGGAAGAATACTTAATCTTTTTCAATTTCGTATTATAACTTCACTAAAACTGTCAGTCACAGTCATGCAGAATGAATACAATGCATTCCAGTACACTTACTCAAAAGTTCAAAAACTCTCATTATGCTTCTGTTTGGAATTATAAAGCAATTAATTACTCAACAATTTACTAGATTTTTAGAGAAGTCACTAAACATGGATGGCCTGACAGCTCTTACATGTCATTCATCCTCCTTTCCATCTCGGTGATTGTGTCTTACAGTTCACCCTGTCTGTGCTTAAAAGCCTTAAATCATTTTATTTTAGAAATAATCCAGATATTTATGATCTTTGGTATTCTTTTCATACATCGCTCACTGATGTAAGTCCATTATTGATTAAACCTGATGTCTTCCTTTTCAGTGCTTTTATCTAATGGAAGCTAAATATCTGTCTGTGAGAGCATCATAAACAACTCCACCATGTAACAATGGTCAATAATGTCAGATAAATGTCTTTAAAGATATGACATTTGATCATTGGTGAGTGATCTGAATTGTTCAAAGGAGTCCTGTTATATCTTTTCAGACAATGCTGATATCAAAGAAATTAGTTCAAATTAAATAAATAATATGAAACATTTCTACAGAGGGGCAAAATAATTTCCTTCCCATCTTACTGTGTGACAAGTCATAGCTAAACACAATCCAATACCAACATGGATGCCCAGGCARCTCTTCAGTCTTTAACTGTTGCAAGTCTCGGAAAGATTTTTTCTTTTAAAAATTATTTATGAATATAATGATGTCCAAAAACCTATGAAATAAAAGCATCTGTAGTCTTCCTGCTAAAATTCTCTTAAAAATGTTGAAAATTAAGAAAAAAGAACACTGAACATCTAAATACATATATATGATGTAAACAAATATATTAGAACAAATTATTTGTTCTAATAAATTAGAACAAGTATATTAGAAGGACTTTGATAGTTCTGCCCAGTTTAAGCAAATGTACAAATTGCAATGATTTGGGAGCTTTATCCTTGGAAAACTCCCAAAGTAATTCATGCAGGAGATGTTGCCTCTCTAATTACAAAGTGGATCTCCTCCAGCTTTCCTTCAAAACAAAAAAAAAATTTACATGAATTTCACAGCAGTCAGAACAGAACTGTAATCTATCAACAGCTTTTAATCTTTGGTAGAGAGTATTAATAAATGCTAATAAAGAATGGCTAGTAGCATCAACAACCCACCAGACTGTACCATCCTCTATGTCAAATCAGAATCAGGTGGCTGACTAATTGCAGCTCTAGTTTCCATTTTAGTTTCAGAAATAAGTGCTCTGTAGCCTGTAGCAATTAGCAGGCAGATCTCATTCCCTTCACCTGACATAAAGGAGGAGGCATTTGACTTCAGGTCCATCAGTACCAAGAAAGAGTTTCAAACAACAGCAGGCAATAACATGACTGGATTTCAGCATCCTTTCTAAAGAGTGGATCTAAAGAGTGGGACTTCTGTTTCCTGCTTGGTATGATTTTGCCAATGATAATAAATACAAAGACGTACTTTTTAATAGGTCCTCTGGGGAATAATTAAAGTTCATGGTGTTCACTTCTTGGCAGACTGTGGTCCTGAATGAAATATGACATCTCTACTGACAGAATTCGAACCCAGAGAGTGTTTTGCTAAATTGTCTCAAACACGTACTTTAGAAAAGGACTTCTGTGAATCTCTCCTGTGCTTGTTTTTGAAAGWAGGATCTGAACTATGCAGTTTTACACCTTTCGGTGCGTCACTGCCCATCTGTCATCACATAAAGTACAGTGAGGAGATTTCTTGGTGCACTAGTCTCCCTAACGTTTCGAAGATACCTAGGTTTAAGGAGTTGAGGCTTTTTTTTTTTTTTTTTTTTTTTAAGATGAGCTGCAGAAAAATGAGATGCGTTTCACAGGCAACCACTGCAGTCAATCTAGTTGACTTAAAAATGTAGTCTTCTGGGGTATGCCAATGTGTACTTGGAACAGGAAGATTAAATATTTCTTTGAAAATAGGTGCACAGATAGCCTAATGCCTAAGTGCAAACGAAACCAACAAACTTTGTTGGACACATTTCAGAAACAAACCTAATCAGTTCAGAGAAGATAAAAAAAAAAAGGCTTTATTTTTTGCCTAGTTTTCTTTATATGTACATCTTTGTGTTTTGCCAGATCAGCTTCCTTTGCACATATTCTACATTCTTAAACACATCTATTCTTAAACATATTTCTATGTTTAAGCTGTGGTAAACTGATTGTGGGGATTTCAACTTACATATTACCTGCTTAGCAGATCATTTGCTAAATGTGACCTGCGACACAAGATTGAGACCGGAACCTTGGATCTTACTGAAAACAGAGGGAAGTTTCCAATCAAAGAAAAAGTTTTACTGAACACCTTGCAGAAAAAAAATCTCTTCCTTGTTCTTCCTTCACTTTATTTTTCTCCATTCTAAAAGCAAAATAAAATGGAAGTTTCACCTAAAGAAGCAGGCTTCTGTATTTTTCGAGAAAACAAAGAT